AGTATCTATGTTTGGGTGGTCACAGTAGAATTTAAAGGGCACAGTGATACTGCAACACAGCTCGAAGTCCTACACCATAATTAAAAGTAAAATTCTTATTTTCCAGGTTATTACAAGGAACCTAGGGAAAGGTATCAGGTTACATAGCAGCAGAGATCCCAGGCTTCAGCTTGATTCCTTCTGTCTTTCTATCCAACTCTCTATCTGCTTATCTTCACACTTCAAAGGTCACATAAAGTTCAACTGACTTCATGTGTTTGAAAGTTGTTTTAAACATGATGCTTTGTAAAATGCTTTATGAATGTCTTACAGTGTCATGTGCTCCTTATTTGTTTGTTTGTTTGCTTGTTTTTTACATTTTTGAGAATACTGGTAAATATGACATAGCCATTCTGGAACCTTCTGGCACATAAGTAGATGATTTCATACCCTTGAGTGTTGAGAACATGGTTTCCCAAATGCTACATAATGTGCAAAGAGGAATGAAGGGAAAAGTTGGAGCCTGGCTTTTGCAAGGCTCCTTTGCTACAAATAGCCTATGCCTCCCTGAGCACATGGCCTTCATTGATTGTTTGAACTAGCAGCACAAGGTTGATTTACCTGAAACTCCCCTAATCTCTCCCCTTCCCCCTTAAGACTGATGCAAATCAACAGATGACCAGCTATCTTCTTCAACCATTTCCTCCCAAAGGTAGATGGAGATTAAACCCTGTGTTAAGATGGTTTTTCCCCCATCTTGCTACCTTACTAAATAAATCTTTTTTATTGCCCCAACAAATTGTCCTCAATCCACTGGACCCTTTTCAAGTGCTAAGTAGATGAACTTGGATTTGGTACCAAGCTACAATATGGAAAACAATGGTAAGATTTCCTATTTTTCCCAAAGTTTTAAAAAAATGACATTTATCAATTTTACAAAGAAAAATAAGAAGAGAGGATAAGATCGCCACACCTTTAGCTAGGACTACCTAAGCCAAGAGAGTTAGATTTGCTCATAGATGTTAATCCTGAGTCTATCATTCTGCAAATTCTTGTTAAATTGTCATTTTAAAATTTTCTTAGTAATGGACTGTGTTTTTATTTTTCAGGTGCAAGATTAGCTTAGTCATTGGAGACTCAGAGTCTAGGTGTAACTACCTACTGAGTCACCCTGCAGCCATGTCTCACCCATCTGGACCTCAATTACGTATCATAAAATGAAACCAAAAAAAAATCACCATTTCCTACTTTCATTGCAATAACACTGCTAGAATAATTGGTACAATAAACAGAAAATACTTTGGAAGTACCCTAGAGGGAGGAAAGTCTAAGGAATTATTAATCTGTCAAAACAAAACTAAGAAATATTGGGCCTGACTCTCTTATCTGAGGAAGGTAACCCTTTTTTAAATTCATGGTCATATCAAAGAGAAATCATCATTTCCCAGAGGGCTGCAACCTGCTGTGGAGATCGGGCTTGCCCCTCTACAGGACAGTTTCCAACATCTTATTAATGAGAGCCCAGGGGACAGTGTGAGATAAAAGGTGAGAACCAAAGATGTGCCTGATGTCCAAAATCAGAGAACAAACAAACTTCCACTTAAGTTCATTTCTGTGTAGATGTCATTTTTAGAGATAACTCAAAGCATCCTTGGATAAAAAAAATGTAAAATGAGATAAAATCCCCAACTCTCAGTGAAGGATCATTGTGCTTCACCTCCGAGCATTTTCTGAATGGAAAGTCCAAAGTACATGAGTGGAGATGGATCTCTAAAGCATAACTGTTAATGATGATGGTATCCCCCCGAGACTGTGTTATACTGGAACGTGTCCAGTGCTGCTGATATGCAAAGTTTCTTATTCGGGAGACTGCAGGCACTTTTCCTTTAACTTTAGGTCCAGTGCTACAAAGCAAACTCTAAAACACACTCACAGCTTTACCTACTGAGACAATTTCTTCTAGTAAAGAAATAAGCATCAAAATATTTTTAAAACAGGGAATTTCATCTTCCCTTTTTGTATTTGAATCTTAATCTCTCCTGAACGTACAGCAAAATATGAGCAGAAACAATCCCTTAATATTGTATTAGGTTCTGAAGTAAATGTTAGAAAAGACCACAAAGCAGAAAACCAAATCTAAAAATCCCCACAAGTCATCTCTCCAAATAGTTTACAAGACAGAAGACAAAAATACAGATATAACTCCATCTCATACTATTTAATTTAGCTGTTGTCAATGAAAAACATAAATCCACAGTGTTGTGCTGACAATTAACAGCAGAAACAACAGGCTTTGTGAATGCCTGAGGTGCATTGCTTCTGACACCTCACCAAAGACATCAAGACACAAATCCTGCCTAGGGCTTTCCTTCCTAAAACACTGGTTATATTTTGAACCCAAAGCCAAGTCTTTTGTTACACATTAGAAAGTTTCTGTTTCATAACACTTTTATTAACTACCTGCTTATTACGAAATCTTATTCCAGAACAAGCTGTTCAAGAGTCCACCCAAGACTAAGATCATGTACTAGGAGTTCAAGAGTCTAAAAGGCAATAAGGAGAGGGAGAAGGAGCGATGGATGAAGACAGTGGGGAGGGAGACAGGGAGTGGCAGCAAAAGTGAAGCAAATTTCCTATTATACTATTTCTGAGAGAGATGTTGAGCCTCTCTCAGCTCACCTGCTGACTGTCTCTGTCTAGTTTCCTTTCCAGCAGGCTACCCATTTTTTTAAAGCAAACAAGGGAACGTACTGAGCATGCTCACCACTTCACCTGTGTTCGATCCCATTAACCTTAAAATTTGTTTTTAAATGGCAAGGAAAAAGAGTGCCATTAGCACGACATATGATTGGAATTTCCAAATTCGGTGACTTTTAAGCACAGAAAAAATTACTAGTTCTATATGAAGTGTATAACTCTAATGGTATCATATACTGTATCTCCTGGACCAATGTCCCAAGGAAAGTATAGTAAATACAACATGGAAATGCACAGGACGCACTTCAAAGAGGGAACACGTGAGTCTGTGATCTGTACCATATGGAAGCATCGCGCAGGCTCTGCTTTGAACAGCTTACTAATAACCGCACATTAGAAAACAGGGCATCAGCTCTGAGAACAAACCTGTCCCTTCATTGGCTATCATACAGGACTTGATGTGCCTGGTGATTCTAAGTGCAAAAGTATTTATATCTCCTGAAGTGTCTTATTTAAGGTTAATTTTTTATTTTGGTACACTATGGACAATGACAATTTGAGTTTAAATGTAATAAAGGAATTTTTATGCACTGTGTTGTAAAATAAATGTTTCCTTCAAGTTTAGAAATAAAGATAATGTTTAACATCTACTCACAAATCACAGCAGGAGATTACCTATGCTATTTATCAAAAATATGTGGCCCATTTGTCTCTGGTATTTGAATTCTCAGCACAAGAAAGTACATGACTTGACGCGGCACTCGTCTTCTGACCCCAGCGCACTCCAGGCCTTAGCAACATTTCTGGTGTACCCGACTCCAACCCCACAAAACCCCTCAACTGCTGTATATCTTCAGGGACCCCAGTTTCTGTCCTTGACATCAGGCAAAGCAACTAATTTAGAGAGCTATGTTGTGAATGTTCTAGAAAATTTACATAGACACATGGTCCAGAGTATGTAATATGCTGAAACTACAATTCCAGGTTACTCCACAAACTGTTTCTAGAAGGACATGGTTGTGAAATAAGACACCAGGGCCCACCCCACACACACTCTTTTTCACAGACCTTGTAACTAGCTGATCACACATTTTCAATGACACTGGTCAAAGAACAGAGAGCAAACTGGAAGTCATACAAATGATATGAATAGCAACCAGGAAGACACATAACATTTCATTACTGGGTCAAACTGGATTAATATGTTGCTTTATTTAGGTTCTCTGGGAAACAGAAAACCACCCAACATTTAACTCATAGCTTTCATGACAATGAGTTCCACTCTCCTTGTGGAGGGCCTTTGACTTCCTCCACCACAAACCTCATCTGCTTCTGATATGAAATTGTGATCTGTGTCAGAAAGCAAAAGTCTTTAATCAAAGTTTCACCCAAATCAGGTTAGGTGGGAGAATTTCAGGAGGAATGAGGCCTATGTTTAGGCCTCACTACATTCAACCGTCCTGGCACACAGTAAAGAATGTGGCTGCAAATAAACATTTGTCCAAATAAAAGAAAAAGGTAAAGGCATTTCGTTATTCATTACTAAGGTGTTTCCCACTGACACTACAGAGAAGGTAGCCATAATATAATATGGCTTGTTTTGAAAAGCCACAAAACATCCACACCCAATGAATGACTTCATTCAAAGTGACACTCCAAAGCCACAGTGTGATCCCAACACTCCCATTCTGCAGCCACCAGTAGAACTGCTTGAGACCCTCTATCAGAATGGATGAATGATACCTTAGCCATATCTTTCACAAACAAACACTTTCTTGCTTTAGAGTCTGAATTTAATATCTTAAAAAAACTGACTCAAACTATATGACCATATCCTTTCTTCATTGAATTCAGCTTTCAATGGCTTTAGGTAATCATCCTCAATCACATATAATGCACAAAATATTTCTACCACTAAGATTATTCAAATGAACACACCTCAGTACTTCCAGAGCTCCAGAGGCAGCGTAGGTAGGTGATGCAACTTTACTATAACTTTATTATATCCTCCCACATGGACCACACTGAATGGGAATTAGACTCATAAAATTCTGGTATCTGACTGAGATCAACCCCAAGAGTTTATTGTCACATTTCATATGAGACTCAAGATATAACTTTTAGGCAATTTTCCACCTTAGCCTCAGATTATATTAACATAAATTTGGCTGCTATACATTTTCATTTCTTTGTTACAAAAAGTAACAAAAATATATTTTAGCTATTCTTAGAATGAGAAAATATTCTTTTTAATAACTTACTCAATTTTAAAATCTTTAGAATACATGAATGTACTCAAGGGCTTTCAGCAAAGAAATACTCACGCCATGATGCCTGAAAGGTGAAACATTTCGGCTGTTATGTAGGACAAATAGCTGTACAGGAAGACAAAAAGTGGCTCAATCACTCTGATGTTGTGTGTGAAGCGGGTGGTAAATGCCGCTATAAATCCCAGGAAGATGCCAATCAGCACCCCACCAATCCCCACAACAAAGAAGTTAGCAATCCCCGCAAACACGTCGATGGTCTCGATGGTTTTCATCTGGCAAAAGGACTTGAACAAGTTGTACAGGACCTGTGGGAGAAAGAGAAGACATTATCAAGACCCCCTCTAGTCTCCTCACTCTCATTCCAAGCACAAACATATCTACCTGGCTTTCCGAGAAGGACAGTTCTTCTGTGTACCCAAGTGGATGATAAGGGGCAATCACCATGTAGTTATTTGTCACATTATTTTAATACTGTGGCTTTAAACAAACAAAAATTTTAAAAAGTATGTTGTCAGCAAAACTATTTCTTAAAGTAAAAGGAGATGTCAAGGTCATTTCCTAACTTATTCCTAAGACATTTTCTTTCTAGTTACTACCTGAAAGGTTATTTTAAAATATTTTCTTGCCATCCAGCACATCCAGCTCATATCACCCTTACTTGGGAAGTCATGTGTTAAAGAGAAATTTATCATTGCTCTCATGAATGTGTTTACTGTACAAGGTCCTGAGATGGAATACCACTATGGAAGGGACCCACCCTTCAATACAGGTACCCAACTAAAGAAGTTCTCGTCCCAGTTCACCCAGATCCTCACTCCATATTCTTATCTCCTTGTCCCACCCACACATAGGCCTGGTGTAATATGAGATCTAAAGGAATTTTCTAAAAGCAGAGAGACAGAAAGTGGTATGTATGCGTGTATACGTATGTTGTATGTATACTTCATGTATATTTTATGACTAAAATAATGATACTACACTGTTGCTTTTTTTATGCAGTCTTGGTTTAATTAAGGCTCTGAGAATGCTAGGCATTTCATGTTTTCTGGGTAATAGGCTTTCAACGATGGAGTGGGGGACCACTGAGCCAGCTGAAATGGGAAGGACTGGCTTAAGACTTTCCACTTTTTCATAAAACCAGCTACCCAAGTTCAAGTCAAGCAAGTTTTCTGCATCTTTGACAACTCTGGGAGTATCCAGAATCTTCAGGAGAACCAATTGACAAGGACATTGGAGACAAGGGCTGTATTACACCTTCATTTGGGTTCTGAGCACTAAATGTCAGAAGCAATATTAGAATGCAGTTCTCCTGACCTGATTAAGATGTTCAAGGTTCGACCACGGGTGAGTCAGACACTCCTGCTAATCAGCCTGTGTCCTGGAAAATGCCACATTACTGCTTCTGTTTCACCCATGGTCATTTATAACCCTATCACATTTCAGGCCTGTATATATTTTTTCTCTTATATATTATAAACTCCTTGGGACCAACCAACACCTTATTATGACTTATGTCTTCTATTTTTCCTAGAAGAACATGTTTATTGGTTTTGAACAACAGCAAAAAAAAATGTGAATGATTCTTTAGAAAAGGTGGGCTTTTTCTGTCCCCTAATAGTTGATATAGCACTCAGGAGGATTTGGTACCCTACCTCCAAGAAATAACTTAATAGAAGAACAAAATCAACACTCATCTTTGAGGAACTAAGCATGCTGAAGTCATCATCATTTGCAGACTGAGGAAAAAAACTGACTCTAAGTGTTTTCCACTTCCTGTTGTCAGCCAAAGGCTTGCTGCAGGTATCAGGCTGCATTCAGCAGCAACAAGATGCAACTGCTTTCTGAGAAAGGACAAGAGATATGTGATATGTGCCCCTTCGTCCAAGAGTTAAAGTCAGAGGTGACTGTCACAAGCATCCCACAGGAAAGAGGAGAGAGGGACTGGATTTCTAACTCTTTTGATGATGTACTATTTTCATTTTTGCATTGATAGCCTCCCTCCCACCTTGACCTGGGCACTGTATTTCTGTCCCCAGACTCTACCACTTCCTCCTTTCCTGTGTCAAGCCTATACCAGGGAATCTCATCTCCCCTTTTCTAACACCCCCATGCCCACCACAAGACTTAATACTTCCATTATGCTCCCCAAATTGACATCTTTGGGTGCCTGCCTTTGGGAAGGCCTAATAGTCTTAATAGCCTGCCTTCCTTTCTTTCTTCCTTTGTTCCTGCCTTTCCTTTCTTCTCTCCCTCCCTCCTTCCCTCCCTCCCTTCCTCCCTTCCTCCCTTCCTCCCTTCCTCTCTTCCTCCCTTCCTCCCTTCCTCACTTCTTCCCTTCCTCCCTTCCTCTCTTCCTCCCTTCCTTCCTCACTTCTTCCCTTCCTCCCTTCCTTCCTTCCTTCCTTTTTTTATTACTGACCAAAACCCTAGAAAATCTGGGATAGGGTATCACCACTGCGCCACAAAACACATCATATTTATAAACTCCTATCCTTGTTTTCTTTCTTGTCATTTTCCCTGGTAGAAACCAGTCCCTAAACCTGGGGACTTCCAAGCTGGTACAGTTCCTGGACTCCTACAGTCCTTAGGAATCGCACTTTTTTCCAACTCCCTGCCAGATAGGCTTCCAAATCATTCAGTACTTTTTGAGATGCCACTTTTTGTTGGTGGTGCAGCCTCCTGAGTGACTGCCACATTTCCTCAAGAAAATTAGGAAGTCCTTTTGCACTAGCCTAGTGAGTCTCCTCCTCCTCTTCTCCTTCATTTCCCACCCCCCATGGAGCATACTGATGAGCTTCCACAAGGGAAGCTCAGGTGCTCAAGCCCAAAGAAGAAATGGCACCAGCAGATAGATAGTTGTACATCTGTAATCCTTCCAAAACTATTTTCCTGGCAACACAATTTATCCAGTTTATCAAAAATACATTCTCTGTCAAATATCCCCTTAGATGTTGCAAAGAGTGAAGCTGTGGGCTCAGCTTACTTTCAGCCCATTGGCTAGAGCTCCACTTTGATCAGTTTACTGCCTCTCCATGGCAGTTCCATGTTGGAAGAACAGGCTTGGGTAGGGACATTACCTTGACAACCAGAAAGTCTCCTATAACTTCCATCTTGTTTTACACTGAACCTGATACCCAGGGATGATCAGAATCAATGAGGTAAAGTTTTTTAGTTACAATTACCCATAATCCCATAGTTAGTTCATTCCTGTTAAGTCCTTCAATTCTATTCAATTGAACCTATGCAGTTTCTCTTGGAGTTTTAATTTACAAAATGTATACATATTATATATGCACAAATACGATTCATGTGTGCTAAAAATATGTCTCCAGTGAGTCTGTGCAAAGATGGCCCCAAGTTGACACTTGTATTTTTAAGAGATTAAAATTCCAGTGATTACTAACTGACATAATGGGCCAATTTTACAACTGAGTGCTTTTAAATCTGCTACATATTTGAAGACTCATTTGAAAAATACATACACATATATAAATTAGGAATTTCATATTTTTAAATTTGATTTAAAACATGCACTAAATCATTGAAATTATGTAAAGCACCAATGTAAACTGTGCAAATACAATTATTTCTCAGAATAGCTCTATTCCAGAAAAAAAGGGTTCAAGTCAACTTTTTATCAGGATATAAAGGCTAATCACTTTTACATAATGAGATTTTTTATCTCTTATGCTATTTGCAAACTCTAAATTAAGTTCCAAGTGATTACTGCTTATTCTCCACTTCCTAAAGTTAAATTCCACTCCAATAGCCTACAAGGACCACTAAGGCATATCACTAGCTTCTGTCTACAGAGCCAGCTCTCCTTAGCCAAGCCCATTTACAGAGAGATAACTAGGAAACCCTCAAGGAAGCTCCTTAAGTCTTCTTGGAAATTTTATTAGAATATTCAATAGCAGCATTGACAGGTTCTAGGAATGATGCTGGAAATAACCATGTAAATACAAGTTGCTTGGTTATGGACTAGTGTAGAAACAGCAGGACTTCTCAAATAATTAAAACTCAAACAATATTTGGGATTTTTTAAAGTTTTATAAAGTATTTATTACAGGGAACAATATAAAAATCCTATTTAAATATCACAGCTTTATTTTTTTAGTTCAATATTGAATTTAGCATGATCTGGGAAGGAGCTAATTGCTCTAAGACTACACCTTTAACATTAATTCACTTGATTTATCTATATCCTACTACCCACAACACCTAGTGATGCCATGTGTATCATGATCCATATTTTAATACCTTTTCTTATCCTGTGAATTTCTTAAGCCTCTCCTAGGGATAAGACTAGAAGAATGAATCAAAAAACCACCCATGAAACATCTCTTCCTCTATTTTTTGAGGTTATCTGACTAGAAAGCAAAGTAATGAGTTTTTACACTACTGTTCTAATTATTCCTAACATGTGTTCAATTCAGTGTAGCATTCAGCCAATTCAGTGGCATTAGGTAGCTTATTCTTTGGTATAAGATGGGAAAGCTCTAGGAATGCCCTGGTGTTCTGTGAGTCTGAGTTTCGAGGGAGCTTTCAACCCAGGGCACACATGGTACTATGAAGGGCTCTTTGATAGGAAACCATGAACAAGGGACTCAACCTCTGAACACCATCCATGTCCTTTCTGCCCTTGCCTTACCTCCCTATTGGAATGAGGAGCTCTCAGTTTGGCTAGATGCCATCTCTGTGCCAGGTGATTGGCTATATCACAATGTCTTTATCCCATCAAGTACCAATGGACATTTGGGTTTTTTCCAGTTTTTGATTATTACAGATGGTGCTGATATAGACATTCTTGTATCATTTTTTGGTTAAAAAAAAGGAACGAAATTGTTGGATCATCACCGACATGTATGTCTCATGAGAGGAAGCATAGGACAGGCCTCCGGATCTCTCACTGCCTTTAAATACTCTAACCAGTGATTTGACTAAATCCAGTTCTGTACAAACTCAATGAACCACTGAGGTGTTTGAATGAGAAAGTTTCTAAAAGGCAGAATGGCAGAAAACATAGTATGTTATTCTGAAACAAACCTGTTTTGCAGAGCTGCCCTAGAAGGAATGCAGCAAGGTCTTAGTTCCCTATAAAGTTCCTTTCACACTCCAAGAATTCACACTCAACTGTTCAGTCTCCTTCAACAAGGGTAAAATCTACATATCAAATCTGTCACAATGGAAAACCTGGTGCCTGAGGAAATTAGAATGAGTTATAAAACTTTTTTTTTACTATTATGGCAGGTTCCCAGTTAAAATTTAATATTGAAAGTTAAAGACTAACTGCTGTTAATAAATAATGGAATATATGAACTAATTTGGTTTCTCAAGTCAGCTAACTTAGCTGTCTTTAAATACCTTTCTTAGCCATTTTACAAAAATTGTGATCAGTAAACTATCAATAAATTATTTCTTGTATAATCCTATCCAAATGGAGTTAATAGACATCCATAGAGATGATATTATATTTAGTTCCAGGATCTGCTTTTGTAGTAGAATACAGCTAAGAGAGAATAATGTTGGTTTCTTTGTAGAGTTTTAAATGAGTCAGGAGTAACATTTTAAGGGTAGAGCTAATTTAAAAATTAAGTTACTTAAGCACACTTTACTTAATCTCTCTCTGCCTCAATTTTCTCATCAGCAAATTGGGACAAATACCTCTTGCATAGGTTATCACACAGAGCTGAGCACAAGGGAAGTATTCACAAAGGGCTAATGATTGTCTTCTCTGTCACTCTTACCAAAGCATCACCAGTGCTAGCCAACTGGTTTATCAATTCTGGATCACTCTCTACTTAGTGGAAGAGAGTGCACTGAAGACCTGTGGGGGAGGGGAGATGCTTCCTTGCCCCTCTTCTTCCTGCTTGCCTGAATTCAGAAGGTAGGGTGGAGGTAAGTTCTGGAAACATTATTATCACGAAAGGCCCTGACGCTAATTAAGTGGCAATTAAAAGAGAATTAAAAATAATTAATGCTTTCTGAATAAATATCCACTTCTGGGAAAATGATGAGGATCAAAAATGTGCTGGTTGAGAGGTAGCAGAAAGTGAACACGTGACAAAATATTTTCCTAAGATCATTAACATAATAAGCAAACCATCCCCAGAGAACGGCACATCATAGATACTATCATTTCACACACACACACACACACACACACACACACACGATACATCATATATCTATATATCATATATCAATGGCATTACTTTTCACAAAGACTTCTAGGATATGCAGTCTTTGTAATTATGATCAAAGACCATCACTCTTAAAGATGCCAAAATGGCAACTCATCAGAGATACAAAGACCACGATGGTGTTCATGCCCTTCTCGCATAACCAGGGCCTGGTATGGAGGAACCACCCACACTTTTTGTGGGACACATGGCAATATGAAAATGAGGGTCTGTTGTGAAATAATGAATAAAAAATGAACAATGAATTTAAAATGTATTAAGAATGTCAAGACAGCAATACAAGGTGATTAATCCAAATGAGTGGCTATGATATTGTGAGATCCATACTTGCTCTTTTGTACTCTTCCTTGGAATATGGCTTTTAAAATCTGAGGAGTAAGTATCTGTAGTCTAAGCTTAACTGAGGCTGGAAGTCTCAGTGTAGCTTCCAGACAGGAGCTGGTCACAGGAAAGGCCAAGGCAGGATTCAAAGGTTGGAACTTTCTGCCTCACCCCTGAACCTCCAGGGAGCTTCTCCAGGAAGAGACTGGGGTTGAAGGCTAAGTTGAGCACTTATGGCCAATGATGCAATCAATCATGCCTATGTAACGAAGCATCCATAAGATCTAAAAGCAAGGGTTCAGAGAGCATCTGGATAGCAAAGCACCCAGAGGCCCTTGGAGGGCAGTGCTACTGAAGACACGTGGAAGCTTTGTGCCCCTTCCCACACGCTAGGTCTGATGCATCTCTTCATCTGTATCCTTTGGAATAACCTTTGTGTTAAGTCACTAGATGTAAGTAACTGTGTCCCTGAGTTCTGTGAACTGTTCAACAAAGAAGAGGTCATGGGAACCCCCCCAATGGAAAGCCTGTGGATCAGAAACACAGGTAAAGCAACCAGAAGTTGGTTTGGTCTTGGGGACTCAGCCTTCAACCTTTGGGATCTGATGCTATCTCCTGGTAAACAGCATCAGAACTGATTTAAATTAGAGGATGGCCAGCTGGTGTCCACTACAGAATTGCTTGCTTGCTGGCTGTGTGGGGAAGCTCCCCCAGATACCTGGCATAAGTAGCATGATATAAAAGTAGAGTGGGAGAATATGAGTTTGGTGGGTTATCTTCTAAACTGCAAGTGGGTGGGTGGCCCCCACGTACTGCAGGGGCATACCATAAATGTGTTACTCACCACTGTGACTGCATCATTCAGGAGAGATTCACCAAAAACCAGGATGTAGAGCTGTTCATTGACATGAATGTTCTCAAAAACAGCAAGCACCGCCACGGGATCCACAGCTGATATCAAGCTGCCGAAGAGCAGGTTCTGGAGCAGAGTGATGTCACTGAGGCCAAATGCTTCAATCTGGCAGATGCCAAACAAAGACACTCCAATGCCAATGGAATTCCAAAGTGTCCCTACCACGGCATACCAGAAAATAGTGCCAAGGTTCTCAAAGAAGGGGCGCGTGGGCATGAAATAGCCAGCATCAAGCACAATGGGTGGCAGAAGATATAAGAAAAACACATCAGTCTTCATCGCAGGTGGTGACTTCTCATCTACGCCAAAAATAATGCCACCTAGTAGAAGTCCAACCATGATGAGAAGGCAACTCTCAGGCACGATTGTAGGCAACTTGTGATAGAGATGGAAGCCTGTTAAAGAGAAAGTGAAGGCACGAATATGGATCCTGGGGGAGTTCTACGAGAAAATTGCCAATTTCAAAATCTCCCAGGTCACTACAATTGCCTGTAGACTGGCTTTCCAAGTAACAACATAAATCAAATGATCCCCTCAAAACCACTCACAATTTTTAAAATACACATAATAAATATTATCTAGACACAAATTGAATGTTAAATCAGAATTAGCATGCTGTAGGTTCCCATTATCTACAGAGTATTACAATTTTTATTTTTCTAACCCCTATTAAGTTTATCTTAAACATGAAAATAGAATAAAATGACACAATTTTATATTTGAAACAACTTAGTCATTTCCAAGACATTTTCAGATGTAACATTTTATTTCATCTTCACGGGAACCCTAATAAAGTAATCAAGGCAGTTATTTTTAGACTTGTTAAAATTTAAGTGGCAACTAAGGTACAAAGACCTCCAGGCTCTTTTCAAGGCAGTGAGGTCACAAAGCAGCTTTTTGATTAGTATTGCTATTTTTGGCATTTATAAAGATTAGTAACTTATTTACTTTTCATTTCAGATTCTTTCGGTCAGAATACTAAATACGTTTAAGTTTTGAGATGTGTGCTCCCTTAGAGATAACAATAGCAATTCATCAAGATGTATCACTTTATAAAGAATATAAATGTGCCATGATTTCTAATCAACTAGGAACTGCATTTGTGACTAACTCCAGTATGAGGCAAAGTGGGATCCAGTCCCAATCAAGTGCTACAGGAATACAGAGAAGCAGGAAACCTGCTGAGGATGACTCCAGAGAGGAGCCGGTATCTCTGCAGGCTGAAAAGGCACAGAAGATTTAAACTTGTAGAGCTGAGAAGTGCCTTCTCAGAAAGGACGAAACAGACAGAAGCATCAGCCTCCTGACCCATAGTGAACCCCAGTGAGGCTGTAACGTGGAGAGCATATTAGGGGAGGCCTGAAGCAGGAAAAGAGGAGGAAAATGTTGGTTGGACCAGCACAGGAGAGCAACATGAAAAGTGACTTAGCCCACAAAGGTCACCTGACAGTTCTTAAGTGATGAGAACTCATATTTGCAAGGCAACAGCAAGTCATCTTGAGACTTCAACATTTTTGAATTAGAGCAGAGTAAGAGGATAATATGGTTTGAATGGATCCCCTCCAGAATTGCAATTTGCTATTGAGAGATGGGGGTCTTGAGAAGTGATTAGCCCATGCGGGCTCCTTTTGCATAAATTGGATTAAGGCACTTTAAAAGAGACTTCTGAATGCCAATGGCTCATGACTGCAATCCTAGCTACTTGGGAAGCTATGATCAGGAGGATCATGGAGACCAGACTGAGCAAATAGTTCATAAGAACTCGTTTCAGTGGAAAAAAAGCTGAGCATGGTAGCATGTGTCTTTCATCCCAATGACAGCCTGAGTGCAAACTAGGAGAATTGTGGTCCAGTAAGACTCTATCTCAAAATAACCAGAACAAAAACGGCTACAGGCATGACTCAAGTGGTATTGCTGTCTAGCAAATACAAAGCCCTGAGTTCAAAACCTAGAACTATAAAAAAAAAAAAAGACTTCCTGCAGTCTTTGCTTGGTTAGCTTGTTTTTTCACCTTTGCTTTCTCCTTTGCCTTCCACCATGTAAGAACACAGCACGAGCTCCCTTCAGAGACCAAATGCTGGTGCCCTCATCTTGCACTGCCAGCTTTCTGAATTGAGAAAGTAAATGTCTTTTCTTAATAAGTTATCAAGTTTGTGGTATTTGGTTACAGCAACATTAACAAAGTAAGGCAGAAGTGTATTCAAATTGCAGGACAATAGTAGTAAAATGATAGAATAAGTCCTTAGAAACTAATAATCACAGAAATTTTAATAAGCAAGCCCTAACTAAAAACAGGACTAAAGCCACAACATAAAACACTCTGTGACAAAGAGTTTATATTTTAAAGCAATATAATCATAATAATTTGAAGGGATTTAAAAACCTAATTTCTAAACAGTAAAGTGAACATCTGTATGTGTGGGGTATTGAAATCATCTCTCCAGAGTTGATTATTTTATTATTTCTATTATATCAAGTTGCAGTAATTGGTTGGGGGACAGCTGTTCTTTACCCAGGACCTCTGGCCAGCCTGCAGACCTCACTAACAAATAGAGAAGTGAAATAGTCCTCTGAAAACTACATGGTTGTAATCTCCCCGACATGCTGCCTCCTTTTACAGCTAGCAATTCCTGTATGATAAGTACATGCCAACAGCAGCCTTCCGAGTCTCCCAGGACCCAAGCATGGTCACCTCCCTTCTGGAACACAGTCCCAGCCTGAAGGTTCCTGCCATGGGCCTTCAAGGCTGACCTCTACCAACCCACCCCAGCTTGAAATCCAGCTCTGTCACTCCCTGCCTGTTATTGTGGACTAGGCCTCAGTTATTTATGTATAAAATAGGAACAAATGCACCTCCTAGGTAGAACTGAATAAATGGGTGGTTTACTGTCCAACACTTACCAGTGTGCCTGCAATGTCACAAACACCTCTAAATTTTAGTTGCTTCTCCCTCTTCAAAGGAAAAGACCAGAGAGATCACTTTTAAGGAAATGTACAGAAACAAAATGATCCACTGGAGGCAAACCAGAAAATGAGTGAGACCTGGTTTTGGATACCCCAACTTCCTTTTCTTTTCCTTTCCTCAGGGACCCAAGGCTTTCACATGGGGCTGCTGCTTTGTCACTATGTAGAAAATAATCTCATATTCTTAAGAGTGGAAGATGGGGAAACAGGTAGGTGGGAGAAGCAGGAACAGAGAAACTGCTTCCATGCATAACAGAGGCCAATGCCTGCTGCTCACTCACTGCGTGATACTGACCAGGAACCCAGGCCAGTAGAAAATAGTCAAAAAGAGGCAAATAAAATATAGCAACATAAATGTAGGATGCAATGAGAAAGAAAGCCCACTGGGACAGAGGGCCAAAGGAGGCGTGGAGGAAATGAGAAGGAGGAAAATCTGGCAGTTGTAAAATCAGAGAAAAAAAAGAGCAGCAACCTTCCTCCCTCACTACCAAGTATTTTGTGAAGAAAAAACCAACTTAAGCGGACAGACTTTGCTTTTCCAGGGTGATGGTTCCACCTGACACTAGTAAGAAAGGTATCAGTTACTGGGGGAAAATTCAAATGAACTTTGTAATGATTTTTACCAGGTTGAACATGTGCTACTGCAGAGATAATCTACCATGCTACATAGAGATGAGCCAACATTTTCCAGCACAGGGCCAGACAGTAAATATTTTCAGCCCACATTCTACTTTGTCTTAGCAGAGCAAATCATCCATAGATCATAGCAAAATGAGGGAATGTGGCTGTATTTCAATGAAACTTTATTCATGCACATGGAAAGTAGACTCCCTTATAATGTGTAGATCACAAAAAGGTTTTGTTTAGATTTTATTTTGACCATTAAAAATGTAAAAATTATTCTTAGCCTCCAACCCATATAAAGACAGGATGTCAGCTGTAGTTGGGGACCAGGCTGTAGTGTACCAACTCCTGGTTTGGTCTGTTCTTGGGTTTCCTGCTAACTTCTGTTTATAGTGTTTGGGGCATTGAACCTTGTATCATTCAATTTTTATTACCATCACATAAAAGTCTGTGAGGATATGGTGCAATATTTATCATTTTATTTTTACTGCAATAGAAACTCAGTGGGAAGGGGAGCAGGATCAAAGGTCTCATAAAATGTACAGAAAAAACACTCATCTTTGAGCTGGTGGAGTGACTCAACTGATAGAGAGCCTGCCTAGTAAGCGTGAGGCCCTGAGTTCAAGCCCCATTTTTTAAAAAAATGATATTCTGTCTTAGAGTGAGTCTGTTTTATCTTTGCAGATGTGTTGAAATTAACTGAATTTAAAAACTAAAGATCTACATATAAGTAAGTGAATTGAGATTAATTCACTTTATTTTCTCATTATATCTACAATAACTTATTTGTCAATTCTGGGAAGAGCAAAGGAGAAACAGCACAGGAAGCTTCTTGACATAACAGGCTCCACAAAAGGGCAACAATGTAAAAGTTGGACTTAGGGAAGACCATCCACAACAAAGGCATATAAAATCAGTATAAAATAACAAAGCAAAGGAATCATACAATGGTAATTAGCCCAAAGGGAAGAGGATCTAGAGTGGACTAGATATAAAACCTTCAGGAGAGAAGGCACTAGCTGTAGGCAAAGACAAACACAAGCGTTTTAGTAAATGTCCTATATTTTCTTTTATTTACTGTTTTATTCTGTACTTTTAAAAAGGCTTGAAGAAAAAATAAAGGTATCTGTCAGATCAACAAATATTTACAAATTCAGGTTAAGAACTAGACAAGTAAGTACCTGTGGTCCCAGCAGTAGGCCCTGAGGCTAACTATCCTTAAAGCACACTTTGAAAAACCCTAGACTTAAGCAACAATTTTTTTAAAAAGAAAGAAACAGACCAAAAAAAAAAAAAGAATGGAGGACCAACTAAAGTCATGTCCATCTAGCTAGGAGAAAAGCGAATACTTACGGAATGTATTAAACATTAAGCTTGTTTTTAAGTTTTAAAAGGAATAAACAAGCTCATCCAAGCCTAAAAATTGTAGATTTTTATATATCTTAAATCACACAGCAACCAAATATATACCTTAAAATTAGAACTGTAACAAGTGAGAGATCGTCATATAGAAACATGGAGAAATAGTAAGAAGCATCTTTTTAATCAGATATGCCAACCAATTGCTATCACTATATAACTCAAGTAGATAAAGGCTGAATAACAATTGATTTCTGAAAGTTGAATTATATTGTTTAAATAAGTGATGTAAATAAATAATAAATAAGCAAATGCATGTATAATACACAAAACAGAGTTCGATAAATAAAGCAGAATTAACTCACCCATGTCAAAAAATTATTAACATGTGAGAATAGAATGATCTCTTCCTATTTAGACATAGGTTGGGACTGAAACATTCA